CGGAGCCTTTCTCCCTGATACCTGAATGGCCGCGCTGTCCCGACTGATGTCCGCTGAGGCCGAGCCTGGCGATGCAGCTATGGCGCTGCAGTGCTGGGCGCTGGGCTGCGGACTGAGCCAGAGGGCCGGCGCTACTCGCTGCTGCTACGCTAATCCTTCTCTCTGCTGCGCTAATTCTCCCTGCTGCTCCGCTATGCCAACCGAAACGCGGTACTAACCTGTAGACTAACCTCCGTATTGAGGCTGGTACCCAGCTGATATAGCGCTGGGCCAGCCTCTTTGATGCTGGTACCTCGGGTCTGGACTGTTGATCCGATCAGCGGGTCAGATCTGAATCTGAAAATGAAAAGTGGCGCCTAAATTGCGCCGCCGGCCGGTCCTACCGGTACCGGCCTAACGAAACTAGCCGTTGGGTCTAGTGGATCTAAAACTAGGCTTACCGGACTCTAATCTAAAACGACGGTTCCTAAGCCTACCTGGACCTAGCTGGGACCGTCGTGACCCGGTACCTAGGCCTAACCTGTGCCTACTACAGGACCGGGCTCTAATTGGGGCTTGTGTGGTATCAGTATGCCACACACTCCCCCCCTTGAAGACCGAGCTACCTGTTAGGGTGAAGCTGTCTATGACGTCCGTGTGGGGCGGGCGGGCTGGGCAACCTCTTTAGCAAGTCACTGTTTTTCGTAATGCGCGAAGATGAGGGGTGTTGTCGCCATTAGGTCAGCTTGTGAAATCCAGCGTGTGTCGTTGGGATCGCATTGCTTGAATGTGACTTTGTACTGCATCGGTTTGTTGCCGTGCTTGCGATGAGCAAGGACATGGTCGACCTCTTGGTGACCGTCCATTGAAGGAGGGTCGTGTGACCGTCTGCTTGGGAAGTCCGCGGAGGAGGCAGGAGAGTGTAGACTTCCAGCTTCAAAGCATGAAATACAGGGTGGACCGTCAAATGTGGGGGAATCTCGATCACGAACGAGGGACCCGTGGGGTTGTCGCCAACTGCTGAAGTGACCTTCCCTGACCCAAACCACTTAAGGGAGGATCTTGCACGAGACGTGCTGCTCGAGCGTAAATTCCTTGGAGGTGATCCAAACAGGGTCGCCGACGCGGATTGGACATGGGATGCAACGCCGGTTCGTTTGCTGTTGCATATGAACCTGAGCCTTTTGCATATTTGCGCGGGCTTTGGCCAGCAGCTCCCTGTACTTCCGTGTCGAAGCGGGGGAGCAAGCAGCGTCGATATCGGCAACCCGTGGAAGCAGAATGTCTGCGAAGATGGGGCCTTTCCGTCCACTGTGATGCAACTCAAATGGAGTCACGCCGATCGTCGGGTGCACCGAAGTGTTGTAGGCAAACTCGATGTTGGGAAGGCGGTCAACCCAGTCCTTTTGATCCGGGCGGATGAGTGTGTGGAGCATCATCTGCGCAGTCTGGTGCGCACGTTCCGTTTGCCCATCCGTTTGAGGATCCGGTGCGAAACTCGGTTTCATGCTGGTGTCGGATTCCATCATCAGTGCCGTCCAAAAGGCTGACATGAAACGAGTGTCGCGGTCGCTGGCGATGTCTTCTGGGACGCTGTGGCTGCAAAACCAACCGGTGTGCAAAAGTCGTGCTAGATCGGGAACCGTCGCATGATACTTGCATGGAAGAAAGCGGGCGTACTTGCTCAAACGGTCGGCGACCATAAGAATACCATCATGGCCAAAGCGGTCGCGAGGGAAAGGACCGGTCACATCCATGGCAATGGAGAGACCGGGTTCCCGAGGAATCGACAGTGGTGTCAGTTCGCCGTACGGGAGCTGATGGCGCCCTTTGTTACGGTCGCAAACTGCACATGATTGAATGTACCGGTTGACGTCGCTGATGATGTCCAGCCAGTGGAATCGCTGGCGGAGTCATGCAAGTGTGCGTGCGATGCCAAGGTGTCCCGCCAGCCGCGAATCGTGGTATTCGCCAAGGAGTCGAGTGCGCAAGATGCGGTTTTGGGGAACACACAACAAGTCCTTGCCTCATGTATGGAGAAGCAAGTAGCCGTCGACAATGGGATAAATGCTTGTCGGTGGTTGATCCAGTGATAAGTCCGCGTAGACTGTGGAGAATCCCGGATCCGACTTGTAGCCATTTACAAAATGTTGTTGCAGGTCCTCGTCGAGGCCGAATGTGGAGTGCACCAAGGCGCAAAGATCGGGTCTTCGCGAGAGACCATCCGCTGCCTTGTTCGAGGGGCCCAAAATATGGTTGGAGGTGAAGTCGAACTCGTCAATGAAATACATCCAGCGACCGATTGTGCTGCTCACCGTGTCTTGCGTCTTGTAATAAGTCAACGGATTGTTGTCCGTTGCCCACGTGAATCGCCGACGCCTGAGGAGAAAGTGACGCCAACGCTTAAGTACAATGACAAAAGCTAGCAGTTCCTTCTTCCTTGCATCATCAAGGGAATTGATGGGCGGCACCTTTTGGTTGAAGTATTCAACCGGATGCCAGTCTGTGCTGTCATGCTGTTCCAAAACCGCGCCAATGCCGTTGCCGGAAGCATCCGTGTCCACTTTGGTTGGCAAGGTCGGGTCATAGATGCTCAAGACGGGAGCTTGAAGCAAGGCCGTCTTCAACGTATGGAACGCGTGTAGGGCTTCGTCGTTGAGCTTGAAGGGCACCAAGGGGAATTGAAGTCGCGTCAATGGTGCAACGATCCGTTGGAAGCTCTTGACGAAACACATGTAGTATGATGCTAGGCCGAGAAAGGAGCGAATGTTGATAGTGCACGCGACGTCCGACCAATCTCGAATGGCTTGTACTTTGTCTTCGAGCGGACGAATGCCTTGCGGCGTAACGTAATGGCCCAAGTAGTCCAACTCTTGCTGGGCAAACTCACACTTGTCGCGGTTTGCCTTGTACTTGGCGATATGGAGTCGCTCCAAAACGGCGCGAAGGTGCTCGTCCAACGACCGGCTATAAACCAAGATGTCATCAAGGTAAATGAGTACGGTGCGGTCGAGCAGGTCACGAAATTTCGTCGTCATAGCCGCTTGGAAAGTAGCCGGGGCATTGGTGAGACCGAAAAGGATGACGATCCACTCAAAGTACCCATACCGCGTCTTGAACGCGATCTTGTACCGATCTCTTGGCTGGATCTCGATCTGGGGATAGCCTGATTTGAGGTCCAACTTCGAGAAGTACTTGGCGCCGCCTAGTCGCTCGAGGAGATCATCGATCCGCGGGAGAGGGCCGAAGTTCTTGATTGTTTGCGCGTTAAGTTTTCGATAGTTGATACACAAACGAAGGTCCTTGTTCTTCTTCCGGACAAGAGAACGGGAGCACCGTATGGCGAACAACTAGGGTGAATCTTGCCCTTGGCCAAGAGGTCGTCTAGTTGTGCCCGAAGCACTTGAAGCTCCTCTTCGCTCATTCGGTAAATACATCCGCGCGGAGGTACGACGCCGTCCTCGAGAGTCATCCTATGACGTATGGGCCGATCCGGTACTATTCCGGCGGGAGCTTGGAAGACATCCTCACAGCTGTCCAAAAGCTCAATGATGCGTGGGTCCGATGTGTCCGTCTTGGGCTGATCAACGGGTGGGAGGGCGTGAAGAAAACAGATGCCCATCTCCTCGACGTCGTGTCGGTTGATGGATTGGCGAATGCTCGCCGCGGAGACCAAGTGACAACCAATCGAAGGATGAGGAAGTGGCACCGTGCACGAGATCAACGGGTGGGAGGGCGTGAAGAAAACAGATGCCCATCTCCTCGACGTCATGTCGGTTGATGGATTGGCGAATGCTCGCCGCGGAGACCACGTGACAACCAATCGAAGGATGAGGAAGTGGCACCGTGCACGAGACTAGTTCACCACGTTGATCACGAACGTGAACGGTGCAAAAAAAAAAGTTTACCGGATGGTCTTCGCTTTGCAGCCACGACATGCCTAAGATCATATCGAACTTAGTGTCCAAGATGTCGAATGACACGGCCTCACATGCTAGCGGGGCATAGTACACGGGCACGGACTCAACAAAGCGGTCTATCGACTTTTGCGTGTGACCATCCGCCAACGTGACATGCGTAGGCTGACTTTTCCTTCGAACGCGCTGGCCAAGCCCAACGCGTGCCATGAAGTCTTGGATGATGTAGTTGCGAGTCGCTCCACAATCGATCAAGGAACTGCAGGTCGCCTTTCCAATTTGAATGGGGATGTAGAGGAGCGGTGCGTCGCCGTCGACGTACCGTTGCGTTGTGTGCTCGCGGTCGATCTTCGCGAGATAACTGCGAAGGTCAACAACCGCTACTCCGTCGTCCGTCGACGGAGGTGGTACTGCAGCGTGCAAGTATTCGCGTAAATGTGCCATTAGGGCGTTGCAATGCGGCGTTGGCAAAGAATCGGTGGAGGGAAGAGGCAACCATTGGAAGTTCTCAACCGTCAACGGGTCGAGTGCCTCAAGACTCGCCCAAGTTGCCGGATCCTCTGATAGAAGGGTTGGTGAAGCAACGGGTTCGTTGTTCGATGGCGGTAACACCGAGCATGCGCTTGAATCTTGTACGTGGAGAGGCTGGTTCAACGGCGGAACCAGCTGGACAACATAGTTCTCGAAGTGGATCCGAGAACTTGCCACTACCACGGAGTCCCCGGACGTGAGAGAGACTGCTAGCAAGGCAGCCGAGTCCGGCGGATTGGGAAATGATGTCGCTGCACTTCCCGCGGTGCTCAGCTTCCCGAGCCTGGAAGCTTGACATTTTCTTTGTCCTTGTCGAGGCATGTACTAGTGATGTGTTTGGTGTTGTTGCACCATAAACAGCATCCCCATTTCTGCTGTAACTTGAACATGTCTTCGGTGATCCCAAATTTTGTCCATGGTGGCTCTCTCTCCATCCGCCGGCGCTGTTTTCGCCTTGTGTTTCCCCCATGGGGTCTTGAGCATTGCGGTGGTACCACTACCGCCACATCTCCGTCACTTGATGTTGAAGCGGCTGTGTGGTCCTCACTAGATCCTTGGTGGTACCATTGCCGCCACATCTCCGTCACTTGATGTTGAAGCGGCTGCGTGGTCCTCACTAGATCCTTGCTGGGTTGCTGCTACTTGCGGCGTCCGCTGACCTTTGCTTTTCTCCAGGTAACCGGGCTGTTGGTGGGCCTCATTGGCCGCTCGTCGGTTACCTTGTATGAGTTCCCTTGCCTTTGAGATCATCTCATTAAAGGTCTCATACTGAAATTCGCTGCCAAGGGCAGCTGTCAAGCCGTCGCAAGATCGGGCGAAGAACTCAGCCCGGATTGCGTTGAACAACAAGTTTAACTCCGGGGTGGCAACGAGTCTTTGCCACTCTGTCAGCCATTCCCGTGATGTTTGCTGGCCTTGAAAGATGTGGAAGATCTTGTTCAACGCGTGATGTTTGTCGTTGTTGACCATGAACCGGGTCTTCCACTTCTTCTCGAACTCCTCCCAAAATATCTCGGTGTTGAGGGTGGCGATGGTGCATTCCAACGTGATGACCATGTGAGTCATAAATGCTTGTGCCCCTCCGATGAGCTGGAGGTAGAGCGCGTTAAGCCGCCGTAGTGGTGGGACGTGATGTGCGTCCGCCTCCACGTTGAATGCCATCCACCATTGCAGCGGATCGGTCTTGTGGTAGTCGTCGAACTTCTCAATCTTGAAGTTCGACATTTTCCATTCCTTGACGACGGCAGCCGTTCGTTGTTGAATGCGATCGCTGAGCGTCTGCAGCTGATTGCTGACCGCAGACGTCCGGGCAAACTTGCTGATGTCGCCAAGGGATGCGACTACGTGGTTGATCCGCTCTTCGAGTTGCTTGGCTTGAGCGGCCAAAGCTGGGCTGCAGTCTGAAACTGCACTGCCCGTCGACTCAAATGCAGATAGACGTGCCAACCCCGTGCTGACATTGGTCTGCAGCTGATCGTTGATGGTCTGCTGGTCGCTGTTCGCGGTCTGCAAGGTGGCGGTCTTCTGTTCCAGTGTTCGAAAGGTTGTTTTGTAGCGGATGAAGGTCTGCCTCATGGCCAGCAGTTTGCGTTGCTGCCAATGGCACGTGTACAGCAGATTTTCCATCAATACTGCTATGGCCTCCTTGCTTCTCTCTTCCTCGGTCAGCTCCTCTTGTTCTTCGGTTGCTTGAAAGTGCTGCTGTTGAAGTAACCTGCGGTACGCAGATTCTTCGTTTGCGTGGCCTGGTACAGAACTTGATTCTTACTGGCCTCGATCTGCTGTTGCTGTAACCGTGCGGCTGCCGCAGCTTCTGCTGCAGCCCGCTGGTGCGCTGCCTCGACTTTTACCAGCTGGCGTTAGGTCGTCTGCCGGCGGGCGGCATCCTCCTGTTCCCATTTGCGAAGTTCGGCTGCAGCAGTCTCCGTGTACAGTTGGAGACGTTCGAGAAACGCTAGTTGCGTTTCATCTGCCTCCTGAACTGGCATTGGAGGAGTAACCGGCCTCTTGGGGCTGTATTGCGTGTTGGCGTCAGCGGCCTCAGCCATGGTCATGCGTCGTTTCCTCGAGATCCGAGGTGACTTGGGACCCTGTTGGGGCTGAGTTCCCTTGGATTCGCGCTCAGCAAGTCGTTGACTGCGGCGCATCTGGCATTCCTGGCTCCGCGTTGTAGCTGACATGTCACTTGTTGAAAGTGGCACAATGCTGACGTGGCCGGAGGCTGAAGTCCGCCTAACTGAGAGGAGGGGAGAGAAGGTAGGGGTGGGAAGAAGGGAGGGAGGCAAGCAAATGCACAGACAGTCCCTCTCTGCCCCGACCTCGAACTTGATGCTAATCAAGAAAAGGAAAAAAAAAAATCCCCCCCCCCCAAAAAAAAAAAAATTTGAAATTTGAAAATTTTAGTATTAAATATTTAATTATTTAATTAAATAAAATCCAATCAGGAAAATAAGGGTTAATTAGATAACATTTTGATTTTGGCAAAAATTAAATATTTAACGAAAGAATACTTAAATTTGCAAAAATAAACTTAACTAAAGTTTAAATAAGATTAAACAAAATATTTAATTAAATAATAAATACTTTCATGAAATTTAACGGGAGAATTCAGCATCATTACGCGGTCATGAGGTAAGTACAAGATCAATGGTAGTAGGAAGATACACAATTTGCTGTGAAGATAAAAAGTTTTAAAAACTTTAATCGCCAAAAAGATGCGATTTGCAAAAAGAGAAAGTTCTGTGAAGTTGCAGTTGAATGTGGCCATGCTCAGGCCCGATCCGCCTTAATTGGGCGCGGTGCCTGGCTGGCGCTTGCTTTCCGTAGCCCGATAGGTCATTAGATCTTTAGATTAGGTTAGCACTAACCCTAATTAGCACTAATTAGGTTAATTGCGAACGCGCGATTTCCTACTTGCACGCATTTTGGACAGAGCCGCCAAACCTAAAAATAGATGTCAACTGACCTAAAGAATTTGCAACTTGCGAATAATGATAACAGAGTACAGGTGTAAATAATCAATCAATCAATCAGTCAATTAATCAATCAACCCATCGATTGATGATGAGTCATCCAATGCTGGTCTGCTCCGATACCAAACTGTTGCATACTCGTGAAACACAGTCATAAGTATGGCGCAGATTCCCAGAACTGACCAGATATAAGTACAATTACAGCGGAGGACTTGATACACATGGACTGACTCAAACCTGACTCAGACTGCAACCAATCCCTCACAAACATACATCGGTGGTGTGAAAGCCCTGGCCTTGGACANGCTTTCCATTTTGTCTTTATCTGATTTGTCCCAAAGAGTGCATGAATCATAAAACCTGAACTCGATAAGTAAGAAAGGGCATGCTCGCACGAGCACTTCTCGTAGTGTATCTAACTGCAATTACAGCAGAACCTGGATGCATCTGACTGTAATCACATCCAGAGCTGAGTCGAAAAGCCCCCATGTGAGTATGCCGTCGCACTTCCAGAAGACCTTGGTTCCTCTCGCGAACACTCACAGAGTAATAGGAGAGAGCTGGCACCACAAGCGGAAGCTATGTTACTCTTTTTCCTCCTTGGAAAAACAGTTCGAACCAGTTCTTGATTTATGTGTGTCATCCTTGTGCCGGGGCCACGCTGATCTTCTCTGTATTGTCCAAATTTTATTGGAGGTCTCAAAGGACTGGAAACTTTGGAACTTGATTGACCTTAGGGAGAATAAGCAGTAAGAGCCAACAACCATCTTTTTTGGATTAACAGAGAAGGGCTGTGCCATGGTTTCTTTTCTTTTCCCTGGTTTTAATCATATTTTTTTATTTTTTTATTTTCCCCTGGTTTTAATCTTGATTTCTTTCCCCCCTACATTCTTGTTGTGCAAAATCAAACGCTGAAATTAAGGCCAGGAACGTMAAAAWWAAAWCSCMCCCSCCSCCCCCCCCCCCCCCMAAAAAAAAAAAAAMAARAAARWMAAAWRMCCATAGGATTAATAAAATAAATTTGAATGATAGTATTAATTATGTTCTTATATTATCAGGTATGAAATTAGTATTATAATCGAGGAAGGGCGTACTCATACTAGCAAATTTGGTAATTGTACGGTATGCGAGGCTGGGGGGGGCCGCGGCTCTTAGGGTCAAGGCATTGGTTTTGGGTTCGGGATAAGACTTGTTTTGTCTGAAGTCATGTTTAAGTGTTGGGGAGGGGGGGTTCCACCCCCTCCTCCCCCCGTGTATAGATCAGGGCGCAGATGTGTCTCATTTATTGCTGTTGAGGCCAAGAAATGATGTGGCCGGCATTGGGGGCGGTTGCCTTGACACAGGCTCGGTTCCAGGTCTGGGTAGCGGCGTGGCTGCCATTCATGTTTAAGAGCGGAGGAGCGCAGAATGGAAGTTACGGGCCAAAGCAGCAAAAGGAAATAAGGAGAAGAGGGGACGGGGGGGGAACCAAGGAAAAGCGAATGGTTTTCTTAACTCCCCATGTATAGAGACTGGTTTGTTTGCCATCGCCGGAAATGTTGTGGGTGGTTTAAATTTGTCGTTTATGGGTGCGGTGACCGACAAATGTTGTGGCTGACGGTAGCGTGTCACAAGAAAGCATAAACTTTGTAGATGGGCTGATAATGTCCAAGCGTGGGGAACAATGGATTGTTTCATTGGAGAAAGATCGATGGTGTTTGTCCTTTTCTCTGGCTTTGTGCATGCAACTTTTTTCTTGTAAAGTGGAATATGTCTGTATTGGAGTTCATCAGCGCATGGACGTCAACTCAGTCCCTGATCATGGAATATGTCTGCCATGCTCTGCCACACCCCCTCCCGTCCCATGTATACATCGGGTTATGAGGGTGAGGGGCTTGTGGTTGATGATTTTGTGCCGGGGGTGGCACAGGGCTTGTTTTAAGGTCTTTGTGTAAACTGTAAAGGCAAAAGAAACAGGAACAGGCAAGTACTTTTGGCGAAGGGCAGTCGAATGGCATGTGCAGGTAATTGTAGTGAGGAACTGCTTTTCGCCGTGCTGAACATGAACTCAGTTTTTTTTTTGTTTTTTTTTTTTTTTGTTTTTTTTTTTTTTTTTTTTTTGTGTGTGTGTGTTCGTGTGGCGCGCGTGTGTGTGTGTGTGTGTGTGTGTGTGTGTGTGTGTGTGTGTGTGTGTGTGTGTGTGCCTCCCCTAACCGCTTCGCCTAAGAGTCACGTGCAGAGACCAACAGGGCCTACCTACGTGAGCAACCCATAACTGCTGAAACACAGACTTGAATTCGAATCTTGAGTATATATTCGGCCAGCTCGTGCTCTATTTCATATTCACTAGACTTGAATTCGAATCTTGAGTATATATTCGGCCAGCTCGTGCTCTATTTCATATTCACTGCCTGCCTCGATTTTGGTGGGGGGGTCTGCGCTACATGTCTGTGAGGACCCTTCAGATAGCCTGCATACCCCCCCAACCCCAGCACCCCCCACCCAGACCAACCCCCCCACCCCCCCACCGAAACCAGAATTTTATTGCAGATTTGGGGTCCTCTCGCCGAGCGCAGAACGACCCCGGTTTCAATATGTATTTCTGGGCGGTTTTTTGTCCCGCCCGGTTTACCCAGGCGGGACCCCTGGGCCCAACCGGCCGGGCCCGGTCCGGCCCGGTTGGACAGGCCCGGCCGGGTGGCGCCCTCACTCAGGTTTTTTATTTATTTTTTGTTTTTTTTTTTGCAGTTAGTAACTATGGTCTCTTCTCTATGACTTGGTGGCAAGTTTGGTCAAAATGAAACTTGGATTTTGTTATAAATGGCATGACAAGTCTGAAAATTAGGGCCTCCGCTAACTGCCTCTCTCACGTGACCAGAAGAGACTACAGGCTTATCTTCAAGGATTGGACCAAGACTAACCCAGATGTACCGCTGCAGCCCCATTCGGAATTTCCAGACCTATTCCCTCCCCACCAGTAGTTGGTGGTGGATCTGCCATGGAACGGCGTTGACAGTTGAGAAAGATCAAGGGTGTCAGAGTGCAGCCAACAATTCTTCTGCCCATCTGGCAGCCAAAGAAGGATGGAGAGGCCGTGCTGCTGACATAGGATGTTTACAATTTGCATGAGGGGGACGAGCAAAAGCCAAAACAGGGTAATGGCCCCGGGGAAAGGGTTGATTGATTGTGCAGTGGGATGCAGGACCCACTTTCCAGCAGGTGCCACTCCCGAGTCCCCACCAATAGAGCGGATCATCTAGGGACGGGCCTACTAGTGGACGATGCTCTTATCACCCCCACTAGCAGCCCCCCCCAGATTTAAAAAAAAAGGAAAAAAGAAAAAAGTTCATTGACATTTAAGTGGAAGTTTCGTTGTCAAGTAACTGAAGTTTCAATGTCCTGTGACGGGACGTTTCATTTGTTTGCTTGTTTTTATTCTGTGCAGCTAGCTGGCCAAGTAAACTGGAATTGGTCTGCAATGCTGAGCAGGGCCATAACTATTTTGCTTATATTTGTCATGATTGGCAGAGTTGTTGCCTTTGCAAGAGCGTAGGGTGATGAGTGTGATTTCGCAGAGGCGTGTGTGCTTCACTGGCGAGCATTTTTGGTACTTCCACACGGGCAGCGGAAAGGAAGAAATCAAGTGAGACTAAAATGGCAAAGGATTAAAAGAGGGTAGTGGTGGTGGTGGTGGACGAGAAGGGGGACATGAAGGTGGAGGCGGCGGAGGTGAACGGCGAAGCAGGAGAAGCTAGCTTTTTTTCTCCGAATAATGGATGGCCGGTGAAAAAGTAGCAGAGTCATTGCTGGGCTCAGAGTCCATTTCTGATACAGTTGAGATCACAAGCTCCTCCAGTGCTGTTGTGGTACTTCCCTCGGTATTCCATTTCTTTTGTTCTATCCTTTCAGTCTGACAGTTCCAGCCCTATTTCCATAATCAACCAGTGCTTCTGCAGCCCTAGTTATCGATACT